TATATATATATATATATATACAGTTATTGCAAACAAATGTAATTGCTTCTAAACTATTATAGGTTCTTCCATGAAGAGCCGCAGTAAGAACTGAAGGACATTTAAAATCACTTCACACACTGTAGGAGATGTAGTTTAGAAAATAGCAATGTGTAAAATTGGCCATACATCATCTCTGGGCAGAAGAAAAGTGCACTTACGAAGATGATCCTATTGGGTTTACCTGGCCTTTTGCTGTATTTGAGCATAAAATTGGTTCTATTCTGGAAAGCACAACTCTAAAAATCATGTGTTTTATATCTGGAAGAAAAACAGCTTTCTAAACAGTTAAATAACCACCTGTCTGAAAGACATCATGTGGGGAGTAGCAGTATAAAAATACTGAAAATCATTGCACTTACCAGTCTCTCCATAGTCTAGCTTGTAGTAAATGACTCTGTCACTTATGTAAAAGTCCAAATAAAGTTGATAGCAGTAAAGAAGTAAGTAAATACTCACCTTTCCTGCTACACCACTTCATTATATAGAAATCACTCCCTAAAGTCTGTACAGGGACTGATGATCTCCTGCATTCCTCGTAATGCTTAGTGGTTCCTTTCACTGACCGCAATCTCTCTACAGGACAGCAGCATGAGGAACCACTAAGCACTGTGGGGAACACAGAAGATCTACACTCACATAAATGCAGGTCTCTGCGAAGACTTCACAGGGTGATTTATCTGCAGCTAACAACTTTTTTTGGACTTTTGTAAATGACAGAGTTGCTTTAAAATGTAACTTTGTCTTTGTAATGGATGTCAATCAGGACAGTAATTTCCACCTGTTTACCTATATACACAGGGCTCAATAGATCAAGCTGAAATTTACATTCAGCAAATTAAATGAATCAAAGGAGTGCATTATCCCCTCACCCTTCTGCTGTGCTCAGAAGAGAGAGAGAGACTTCAGGCAAACAATCCTATAACACTCACTGTGAGCACCACTGTAGTATACATTTATTTGTAAAACAAAAAAACAAAGATGTAATGTAAATATTTAAAACAAATAATCAAAACATAAATATGTAAAACTCCAACTGTCCACAGTTAAAAATAGAATAATATGCATTATCTCACTATATCATTGTGGATTGTCCTATTCTGCAGTATGATCAGGTAGGCTGAACCAATTCAATCATGTGTGGGGTGCTATACCATGGTGAGAGGATGGGGCAGTAGAATAAGAGAGGCGGTACCTGAAGGCACTGGTAGGTAAATCTGGATGCAAAAACCACCACTGTATATTGTGGTTGAACCGGCCCTTAAAAAAGGCTTGTATTCCATTTGGATGCATATTCAGTAAAATAGTATAAAAAAACAATAATGATGGGCAAAGTTCGGTAGCACACAGCTACCAGTTATATTTAGTTTACTGAAGCCAGTTAAAGAAACATTGTGATTAATCACTATGACTACTACATGTGTCAGATTGATATCTGCCGTATCTGACAGCTATCACACGCCACGGTGACGAAAAACTTACATTGTCGATGGTCTCGAAAATGTTTGTTGCAGCTCCACGTCCTGAGGCGAAGGCCTGTAAGCAGGGAGACGCTTGTCCCAGGTTCAAAGCACCCACCAGGACACCAAAAAATACCTAGGATAAATAAAGTCTATGGTAATATTTAACTGATCATCAGTATAGTTAACCAGTGTGGAAGGTGGAGATCTCCAGAAAGGAAAAAAGTAACCAGCAAATTAATATACGGTATATCATATATATTTGTGTAAATGTGACTGTGAGCTACAGCAGTACTTCAACCTCTTTAAAGTAAAGTGTAAAGTGAACCTGTGAATTAAATGAACACTTCCCATGAATCAATAATACACATGTTAAGAGAACCAGATCACATTACTGTGAGGAAAAAAAAAAAAGTAACTAATTCTGCATGAAAGATTAAAAATGTTATGTTCCCGAATTCCTTTGTATGGCCTAGAGCCTAAGAAGAGATCACGCGGGGTCTATCTACTAGGAGCATTGTAGTGATTTTACGTCACTGCAGACTGCAGAGTCCACTGAACCCAGACAGAGCAGAGTTCAGGGGACTCTGCAGAGTGGTATTAGTGACATGAGGCTCAGGGAATTTACAACTAGAAGGCAGAGTATATGTGAAACGTGAGCATTTGCATATACACTGCCAGTCCTAAGAAAAATATCACCACATGAATTTAGTTAAGCAAATAGGTCATAAGCATCCATGGGATAACAGGTCTAGTATGAGCAATGTTATGTAGCCCAAAAATGAGGTTAAATGCCTACCTGAATATACCAGGTTTTTCCATCAATACATTTTTTCTTCCCCGATGGTACAGGCATATTCCAAGATGACAATGACAAGATTTATAGGACTCAAATTGTGAAAGAGTCGTTCAGGGAGCATGAGACATCATTTTCACACATGGATTGGCCACTACAGAGTCCAGACCTTAACCCCATTGAGAATCTGTGGGATGTACTGGAGAAGACGTAACGCAGAGGTTCAACTCTCCCATCACCACTATAAGATCTTGGTGAAAAATTAATACAACTCTGGACAGAAATAAATGTTGTGACATTACATAAGCTTATCGAAATAATGCGAATGCAGCGAATGCATGCCGCAATCAAAGCTAAAGGCAGTCCAACTAAATATTAAAGTGTGTGACTTTCATTTTGGACAGGCACTGTATATTTTCAAGCAAAACATAGGATCAAGTTTTTTCTTTTATAGACTATTGTTAATAAGAATAGCTGAGCGCTTTTGCATATGTATTCAAAACACATGAAAATGTATAGATCCCCTTTAAAATGTAATATTAACTTATCTAAATGATTGGATCCCTACCTGAAAAACACATTTCGTTTATCCTCTGTAACTGCTGAAACCAATTTCAGAGTGAATAAATCAATCTTGCATGGGTTGCAATGCCTACAGTCATGCCTTTGTGTGTGCAATATTAATTACCATCGACTTAAGATGCGACCTTGAGCAAGGTTTTTATATTCCCAGCCCCAGAACTCCTGCACAAAGCTTGACTGGGCAGGTTAATTAAGCAATACCATTAAAAATGTGGAAACAAGGAGAACATCAATATATATTTTAAAAGTTTAATGAAAGTCAGATAACAATGGAGTTATTTAAATTAGAAAAGACAATAAAAGTTATATTTTTTAGAGTAGAGAATATAATATACAGAGAAAGAACTTCAGCAAGTAGTCCAGAGGGAAAAGACTTACTTAACATATATGCAGTGAGTGTTGAATTCTTAGCAGCCTTTTACTTTGAGATAAGTATAGAACAGCTCCAGGCATCAAATATACTGAATCAAAGAAATTCTAGTGCTCTCTAGGAAACATTTGCTAATGTTATAAATGTACCCTTAAAGGTCAACTCTACTTTTATGGCAGATGTATTTTAATTAATTTCCCCACCTCCCTGAATGTAGCCTGCCTGGTAAAACACTTACCTACCTTCGGATCTTTACTGCATCAAACAGCCTTTGCAGTGTAATCCTCCTCACTGGGTGCTCTTTTTATTGCGCAGATGCCCCCTAGCCCCATTCATTCCTATAGATGAACCATACTTATGGTGGGCTCTAAAGAGCCTGGCTTGGACCTTTTTTTCATTATTATCCCTTCCTTTTATTTTACTAGGTATTTTACCAGGCTGGTTGCACTAAGGGGGTGTTGTGATGATTCATTTAAAGAACAACTGTTCCAGATGTACAATTGTCCTTTAAATCAAGACAGACAGTTAAATACACATTTGTATTTTCCACCATCCAGTCCCAAGGTATACGCAACCTTGCCAGACAGCAGAACCTCACTGACCTCACTTTTCTCCACTGCAGTCCAGCTCATTTGCTGCTTGTTAAAGTCGAACTAGACCCACCAATTTCAATGTCTCCCAAAGCAGTTACTTTCAAGCCATGCCAACTGTCAAGGTTGCCAATGTACTTATTTCAGCTCTCAACTGAACTTTCAAGCCCTCAAATGGCTGGTGTCATAGCTGATCACATGTGCAAATATCCAAATAGAGGCTAAGATGACACTTTGCCTGGCTTTAAATGAGGCTGTACTTCTGCTTTAACAATATGTACATAGCTGGATGTCTTTAACCTGGTCACAGCTCTACTGTAAAGAGACCCTGTCACCAACTTAAAAAAATCTGGTAAAAGAAAAACAAGTATTTTATTATAAAGTATGGTTGACTTCTATTGAAAGAGTCGATTTTCTAGCACAGCCCCCTCCTTTCTTGCCTGTCATGGTCCTCTCCTCTTCTGGGAGTGCCTTATTACTGTTTGTGCTGACCCAGCTCCTTACCTCACTTACCTATATAACTTAGCTGCCAGGGGAAACGCGAAGGGAAATACTATAGAATGACACGTGAGTTACAGCTCCGGGGTTGCGGGCCTCACATCCAAAATGGTGACGCCCAGCAGCAGTATCAGGGCTTTTGGATGCATACACAAGGCAGGCTTTTACAGTTAAATAACATGCATAACATATGTAAAATACACATAAACTTTTATGGGAAGGTTGTTAAAATGAATGGTCTAGCAAAAGGGGCTTTTTTAATGATGCTAAGAAAAAAAATGTTATCAGTGAAGTTATTAGTTTATTAGTAAAGCTGTTGTGAAATTACCAAGCCGTGCCAGCCAGCAAATGTTGGCAGTAGCAGGCATCTGTGGATTGAAATGTAAGTGCAACAGATACAGATTGATTAGTACTGCTTTCACACACAGGGGTTAATTTAATAAATGCAAATATGCTGTTCACTTTGAAAGGGAAGTTCCACTTTACAGGGATTATTTCCCCTTAGGTTAGTGAATGGGTTGAAGCTCTGCTGACTTCCATCATCCAATCATGTGCAAGCAAAAATCCTGTTTTCTTTATTTTCCTTGCATGTGATTGGGTATTTTGTGCAAAGTGCATTATTACCACATTCACTAAGCAAAGTGCAAATTCCCTTTCAATGTGAACAACCTAGTTACCTTTAGTAAATCAATAGTCACTAAAATGTAAAATACAATGGGGTTTAAACAGTGAATGTTCCCTAACCTTGATGAATAAGGTGAAGTTGTGCTCACTTCAATCATCCAATCACATGTAAGCAATCCAGTTTTTTTCAATCTCCCTTCCACTTCAGCATTAAAAGTGAACATAATTTAAAAATGATTACTTTGCAAAGTAAGCATTTTCTACTTCAGGAAAGCATACCTAAGAGCACAGAAAGGTAACAAAAAAGTAGAAGGTTCTATAAATGTTCTATAATGTTCTATAAATACAATCTAGGTCAGGTTTCTTTCAGACTATGTAGACCTCCACACTGAGAACACGTCCTTACCTGTAACAGGTTTCCAGGTGTATACTCTTCTTCATCAAGGACTAGCTGGGATCCATACCAAAATGCCAAAGCATAGCAGAGGAATATTATAAACCACATGTATCCAGTGAAGAATCCCATAATAATGCCTTTCCTTATTCCCCATCGCTGAGCATAGACAAGGTTTCTATCATACCTGTGTGAAATGAAACAAAATACAACCTCAGAAAGCATTGCATATATAAGATAATTGCAAGGCATTTGTGACTTAGGACAACCAGGTTATTCATCCATAAGAGACCACTGCTTAGAAAGTCTAACATTATCCTATCCTAAAGGCCATCCCTATAATATGGCAACCTGATGCGATTGCCACAGGTGGCATCTTGTTAGGTCACGTGGTGGTGGTGGGGGTTCAGGTGTGCCTGCTGCTCACTTGCCAGAGTGTCCCAGGTTGCTAAGAGCTAACACTTGCCGGAGCGTCCCAGGTTGCTAAGAGTGTCCCTCCCGCCTCCTGGCAATCATTGATGGTCAGTGAGATAGGCGGGACCCTCATCCTGGAATGTGTACCAAGGAAGAGTAAGTAACCCCCCCTTTCCGGAACCTGGGTGCGAGATAGCACATCCTCCCTCCTAGCCTCAGGCGTCGAGATGTCTAGGGATGGCCATGCTTATCCTTTATTAAGTAAACCCCTCTGATTTTTATTCTAAAGTCAAAACTATATAAAAATATATAATATGTATTATTGTTATTATTATTTGCTGCCTGTGTTCCATTGCAGATATTTTAATTCACTTTTTTTTCCCAGAAACACAACAGAAAGAAAGAGAAAACATTTCTCTAAAGTGAGGAGACAGTTATTACTAGAACAGGTTTCTCTTTACTTCCTGTTTTGGTAACAACTGTAAAATTTTTAATTTTCTATTAATTTCTGTTGTTTTAACAATAATCACTCCAGTGGGAAAACAGACTGCAATATAAATCTAAACAGGGATTTCACATGCTTCAATCTAAAGCATAACAAAGTTTAGGTTAGAGATAAATCTTCAAAGAATATAACGGTAAAATGTAATTAAATTCCAATTCCAGTTTTGTATTTTTTTTTCTATTTTTTCTAACAGTCACCCAGAATTTGGAGGGCTAATGACAGCTTCACTGAAAACCCTATCTTTGGTGTAGTTCGCGGAGACTAACTGCTCTGCGTTCTAGCACTGGTTTCTTTTTGGGCTGCATGACGCCAAGGGTAATTCAACTAACTTCCTGTGAGTGCAGCACCCGCCCCCTGAGGGTTGTCACCACATCCCGCTACACCTACAATTCAATGAGGCAGGGTGCGGAGCTGACATTAGCAATGCTCTGCACATCATTAAGGATCACTGGAGAGCTGGACAAAGAGGATCCTGTGTATCACTGTGTGCAATTAAATCTATCCACTATGAAGCTATTTAAAAAAAAAAAAAAAGCACAAATGTCTAATACATTTTTTTACTGAATTTCTTAATGATATGATGAAATAAGAAATGACAAACCTCTCAACTTCTTTTAACTCGCCACCAAATGCTGCAATAGTTCTAATACCGGACAGAACTTCATCAGCAACGGCCCCAGCTTTAGCATACGCCATCAATTCTCTACCTGTCAGCTTTGCAACAGCCTTGTAAAAAAGACAAATTGCAGTAAGTGCATGAATAGTATATAAGGCAACAAAGAGTTATGATTAGCACTTGATTAAAGACCTCTTACCAGTGCCATAAGTGCAGCTCCTACTCCAATCAGTGGGCTTACAGCGATGATAACCAAAGTCAATTTCCAGCCATTGACAAATCCTAATAAGAAGCCGCACAGAAATGTGGTGAATCTCTGGATAAATATCCCAACTTGGTCAGCAATGGCATCATTAATTTTATTTATATCACTGAGAAAACACAAAACAAAGAAGTCACATATTGGATTTTATAAAAAAAATAAAAAAAATAATTTTGCTACATAAGTATGTAGAAATTCTGATGTACTAAATTGGGGCTCACAGTGCCACCAAGATTGAGCTTTGTTCTCTCTCCATTCATGACATAATAAGGTTCCAGTGCTTGTGTACATGTCAATTTGCTGTGCTTGGTGCATGGTTTTTGGTGTGTAGCTTACTATGAATCATACATTAACCAATAGGAAGGCAATATTTAATGCATTGTGTTAAATGTAAAAACAAATAGGAATAGATGTATTGCAGTTGTAGAATGTGTGCAAAAAAATGCCAATAAGCTGGAAAATATGTTTGCAACAAACAACTGATCATTCCCTTTTCAGCGAAGTAAAGAGCCTGGAGCTCTTACTCTACATGTACTACTAACATCCTTAAAGCTTGGCCCAATGTAAGATATATATATACTGTATGTCATACATGATCAGCTCATGAGGATCCTGTAAAGCATACCAGGCCCTGGAAGAGTGATCTTCCAGGGCCTGGTATTGTGCTGTGCTGAGCGGCTTCCCCTCTGCTCTGAAAACCCTGGGGGGGAGGGGGGGATCACTCGCTCGGTACAGCAGCCATTTAGAGTAAGCCTAGCATTTTTATTAAAAAATACAAGGTGTTCTCTGATTGGACAAGGGGCAGATCTAGACATCATTGCAGATTTTGCTCAGCCGGCAAATTTTTTTCTCATTTTGGATTATACGTTCTTTCAGGTTTCGTGTTTCGGGTCTGAACGCCATTTTTCGTTTCGTTATTCGGATTCAAAGCTTTTCGAACTTTGTTTTAGTTTTGGACAGGATTTTATGATTGGAAAAAAAAGTCACGTGTATGACTTAGTTTCATTTTAACGAAATTCAGAAGATACGAAATTTCGTTAAAAGAACATTTGGATTCATTTGCATTCGGCCTTATTGAAATTGGAACATTCAGATGCATCTGAATGTTGAATTCATAAAAATGTGTTCAAATTTGCATTCAGAATGAAATGAAACTACATGTCATTTGCTCATTCAGTCATCTTGCAGTTTATGGTCACCTTAATCTCCTTGCTATGAAACATCATCAAGCAAAATGACTTACTCAGACATTCTGGTGTTCAGCTCCCCAACGGATGTGCAGTCAAACCAGCCAATCTCCATCCTCATCACTTTACGGAAATAGAGCTTCCTTATTCTCTGGACCTGTCGGGCTGCAACAGTGACCCAGCTGCATATCTGTGGGAGGGAAATGGTGAGACTAAGCTCTATTCAACAAACGGATAAATTCAAAGGAGAAAGAGCAGTGACAGAGTGATGAAGCTCAGAGTGCTTCTCTTTTCATTGTCCAGTCAACAGATGGCCAATATAAAGGGTCCCTTGTCCACTGTGCACGAATATAAGAGTGGCCTTTTCCACTTGATCAACAGTGTATGGAATCGTCCTCCACTAATCACCAATGTAAGGGTGCTTTTCTCCACTGGCCACCAATGTAGAGGACACTACAGATATTTTCTTTCTTTTCTGACCATTATTATTTGTCTAATTTTAATGTCATGATTAATACCAAAATAATTTTGTTGTATAGAGTAGGGGAGTATAAAAAAAAGATCCAACTTGTGCCTAATGCCCACCCTAGCAGCGGAGTAACGTACGCCATATTCTTTATTTTTCTAATTTATTATCTTGTCTATGGCTCACTGATCACAGCAATGTACTGTATCTTAGCTGTATGTATAGTACTTTGTAGTGGATGTTCCCTGAGACCTTAACCATTATTTCAAGTGTTGCACAGGGGTAAAAAGTTGAGGACAAGCTGTTCTAAATACCTCAAGTCACTCCCCCTTCAATACAGAGACTCTAAGCTAACAGAAGGTTATAATCACTTTGGAATATCCACAAAGCTTCTTATCATTCTTCAGCCAAGTTATTGCAGCAACTCAATCTACAAGGATGTATTACATCCCACCGGCAAAAAATGTATAAAAGACTTTCTAAATTTCGAATCTGTATTCTAGCTCCAATGCAGGAAATACTGAAGCCAAAGACAGCCAGACAATTAATATTCTTGGAAGAACAGCTACGGCAGCCAACTTATTTCTTTTAGAACAGGTTTTGTCTAATGGTTTTTCACTGACAGCTTTATTATTAAAATGGATCCTACCTGGATATCAAATCTTTAGGGGGTTATTCACAAAGCTGCAGAAGGCAGCCGAGCGAATAACCCAACCGAAGTGAAGTGAGCCGTACAACGTTCGGCTATTCACTGCGGCTCAGTACGGCTAATTTCAGCAGTACATCGGCTGAAATCAGCCGTACATTGGCTGCCTTCGGCTGCCCTTCCGTCAGCCGAACATGCTCTGCATGTTCGGCTGAGTTGAAATGCAGAAGGACTTCGACTCAGCCGATCCAACATCTGGATTGGCTGAGCTCAAGCTCCCGCAGCCGTGCGCCCCTATTCACATAAGGGCCGAATGGCAGTGAATGAATAGCCGAATTCCACCGAGTGGCATCCTGGCTCAGCTATTCTGCTCGGTACCTCCGTGGTAACAAGCAGAATAGCAAATCAGTGAAAATTGTTTTTTTTTTAAAGTTTTAAAAAATATTTTCAAAATGTACATAAATAGTTAAATTAAAAAATAAAGATTGACAAAACAAGAAACAAAAACAATTGGGCGGAGCTAGCAGTGACAGATAGCTCCGCCCCACTGTTTCCTATTGGCCGACACCTGCAAGAGTCTTCTAGCAGGTCCCACCAGTGAATAACAACTGGGCAGAGCCGGCCGTGATGTCACGGCCGGCTTGCCCAGTTGTTATTACTTAATGACAGTTCAGACAGAGTCCCCAGGTCACCATGAGTAGTGATATTTTTTTACATACCATACAGAAAGCAAAATAAACTCCCTGCTTTTAATACAAGGTAATTAGAAACAAGTGAAGGAGCTTATGCACAAAGCAACTCCAACAATAGACCAAGAGCTATAGGTTACACAGTTTAGTACTGATTCAAGATCATGCCTAACACACCACTTTAAAACTAGTGGCTACATACAAGTGAGAGTTATTGAAGTATCAACAAGGGTATCAAAAGAAAAAATATATAAAATAGGGAAGGCAGGGAAGGTAGAAGGACCTCAACTCTTTTGTGTATTTTCGTACTAATTCCATATATCAGATAGTAATATTGGGTATCTATCCCAAAAACCCATAGTGAGTTGCAAAGAATGAATAGACAGGCACAAATATCTGCTCTCAATTCCAATTTATCAATGTATGGCTTCAATGTATGTTATCCAAGATGTCTACAGCCCCAACCCTCTCTCCCTATGTTTGCCGTTCATGGAATAAAGTATTAGAAAAATTCTAAAAGTGACTGGTGCCCAATATTGCTTCCACATCCCACATACTGGCTAAGAACTCATTCCTGAGGTGAAATGTCAGCTTCCCCTGCCCCCTGAAGGATATCATTATTTGCTATAATTTTAAACTGCTACAAATTTGTTTTAGCCTGACCATGTCAGAACTACACCCTGAACTATGAATTACATACCACTTGTTCTAAATCTGTGTTTACATTATAGCATGGTCCTGATTTACACCCCAGCACTGGTGCAAATTAATACGCGTTGAAGTACGTTTTTACAAGCATTGCAAAGTGCATTGCAACATGCGGTAAGCACATGCCAATGCATGTTTCTATGTGTTTTAATTAATTTCAATGCAAATTGCATGTCCCTAGGACAAGTATTAGTCCAGTTTTTAATTCCTTGCCTGAAGTTCAGCTTCAACTTCACATGCTATACAAATTGCAGCAATAAGCTGGTATGAAAATTTGAACTTACTTGTACATATCCCAGGAATAGGACTGAGCATCCAATCCCTGCATAGTAGCCTGCAAATCTTGTCATTTCTTTTTCAATATCCAGCATGCTGAAACAAAGTGAGATGATTCAACTTGACATATAATATTGTGAAAAACTGAAATTATTAGCAGGCACATATTAAGGCAATTAATAACTGTAATGTTTCTCACCCGCAGCTTGTTGTCTTATTTTCATATTCCCCAAAAAGGGATCCATTAATCCATCTGATAGTGTTGTTTATACAAGTCTTGTTCGGGTCTCGCAGTTCTTGCAACTCAATATCGTACAATATAAATGTGTCGATCATCACACCGAAGACCAATAACATGCACGGCTGAGCTGCCCCATGGATCACTGCAGCGATACTACCGAATACCATCATGCAGTTCTCAGAGCCAGAAGCGAAGCGGAACTGTAGGCATATTACAAGTATTGAGAGACACTGAAATGTCTAAGCACCCATATCTGCACTCTCATTATAAGAATAAATCATGAAGCCAAAACATTTTGTTATATTAGAAGAAGTATTAATGTTTAAAGCTAAACTCTGAGGAAATTGTAAACTACCCTTAAAGAGGGGATCCTTTTGCACTGCAAGGGTTGAATGCTTGTTTTTGTCTAGCGTACCATTAAAACGCCATTTTACCTACTTTATCAGTGACTCCCGTAGGCACCTACTTTCCATGCGACTGGTCTCCCCTAGCTGTTTTTTCTTCAGTGCTTCATCATCAGGCATACTCTGACATCATTATGTACAATGCAGGACCAGCAGTCCTGCATTGTAGGTGAGGATGCCAAGTTCACACCCGCAATCTGGAGCACCAGATGTAAAAGGGGAAATGCCAGATGGCAGGGGAGCAAGGGTTAAGGTAAGTAAAACTACTTTTTTTAATGTCACCATAGACAAAAATGAGCATTCAACCCTTGCAGAGTCCCACTGCAAGGGCAGTTTTACAATGTTTCCAGAACACAGCTTTAAAACCCCTACGATTTTTTTTCCATCTGATCATATTGAGTGGATTTTGTTTTCAAATTCACTTTGCTTCTAAGGAGTCAGACACTTCATATAGCACCCGGGGCCCCACACCCAATACCCAAGCAAGGACGCCCATGCTTACCCTGGGTCAGTCTGCGCTGTCCCATCTCTTGCTTGCCAGAGGCTTCTTTCTTTTCTCCACTCAAGTTCCGAGGGCGCCACAGTGGGTTCTGCCTTCCCAGGTGGGTGTGCGGACCAAAACCTACAAGCTACAACTACCTGACACTGAGATGTGCTATATACCAACCCAACCAGCACCATTTCCAACCTTTGACACGGGTTGCAACTCTTCTCTATCCAAAATAGATTCTTAGTCTAAAAATGTCAGTTGCCCGTCAGTCATGCTGATCTATTGGATTCAATAGTCTTAAAGTCACCGATCTGGAACAAGTACACAAAGCTCTAATATTTTGACTTCACTCTAGCTTTCTTATCTGCATGCTTGTTCCAGGTCAGTGACATAGAAAGTATTGAGGCCAGAGATGGCCAGGCAATTTATGTCTGAAAAAGGTTGGGCCAGCAATGGTAGTTTGAATATTTATCTTAGAATAGGTTAAAAGCAGAAAAGGATAGTATTTGGTGAGGGGGAGAAGGGAAAGGGGTATATACAGAAGAGTGGTACACAACTAACATACATAGTGAACTTACCAGCTGAAAGAAACCAACACGTATGCTGTCAGCTGCTGCATGTTTGTTAGGCCTAAAAGAAGATAGTATGTGTTCAAGAATGGCTATAACATAACAGTACAGAGAATGATTTACAAAAGGAGTTGTGGATGTTCACACAATACATTGTGTGAATATTCACCTCAATTTCCAACCATGTGCAAATGAAAGAAATTATTTTCTTTTTACGTGATTGGAAATTTGAAAGGAATCTGCACATGGATAACATTCTCAAATGCTTGCAAATCAGCCTCAAAATATATTCATTATTAGTAAAAAGCCAAATCTCAATTTACAAAAATCCAATTGCCATATAGGATCATTTGACAAAGTGCTGCCTGCAACCAAAGTCTCAGTCCCCCACAAACTGTCTGTCAGATGTGGGAGAGTTAAACCACTGGACAGTATCTTAAATAGAAGACACTATTTGTGAGGAGTTCCTGGGTCCACACACATGCTGAACCATTATAAGGGGGTCTCATTCTACCTGTTGGATTCTATGGAGAGTGCAACAGAAGGAGCTGGAACAGGTGAAGGTAGACAATAACACCCCAAACTCTGAGATGGACAGAGTCAGGGTTTATGGTAGGAATCTCACTATTGGAAAATCTGAGACATGTGAGAAGGCGTGATTTTACGTCCATGAGCACCTCTTCCAGGTTGAATGACACAAAGTGAATCTCAGTGAAAGTGTGCTAATGAGTGAGTGCAAATCTGCCAGATCCTGCTTTAATTCAAGCCAACAAGGGGGATACACAATGCCCTGCCTTATAGTACAAGGGCTCACTGGGACTGTTGGAGGACATCCTGGTCTCATTGGGTACACTCATGGGGATAATAGACTGTTTGAGACCAAAAATTGTAGATTCTCTGCACATAGGCTGCAGGGGGCGTTATGTGGTGATGTTAATCAGCTTTTTTGGCGTACTCTCAATTCAGTTTTAACCATTGAAATCACTTCTTTTTGCAGAGAGTAGTATAACAATTTAATTTGCAATATTTATTAGCACTCCAAATGTTTTGTGTTGAGTTTGAATTAACCAAAGCTAGAACAAAGTAAAACAGAACACAGCTTTTTCTCTTTATTCCATGAAACAAGGATTATGATTGCTGTGAGCAGCAGTTTTCTTTGCTCAGTTTTTAATAAATAATCCTAAAAACCGTGTTTCATCTCAGCATTAAAAAAATAATTCCACCCAACCTACAGACGTGATTACATGAAGAGTACATTTTATTTCTTTAGTATGACATTTTCTATGCAATGCTAAAACTTACTTTTTCTTCTTCGATGTGCCATTGTCATATTTGTCTCTGTTTAAATTTAAAAAAGGAAAAAAAGAAAAGTTAGGGTTTTAAAGAGACAAGCCTGCACTGAAAACAAGAATAAGCAAACTCAAACTCAGGTATATGGATCCTTGAAGGGAACTGTGCCCAGCATCATTGCTACAAGGCAAGATTTCTAAACGCCTGGTGCCCAACCTGTGGCCTGGAAGCTGCATGCAGCCCCCTGGCACTTATTATGTGGTCCCCAGGGCCCTTGCAGACAGACAGTAGTCTGTATTTCTCTTACCTAGGTGTTTACTCAGACCAGTGAAGACAACATTTTTTCAGACAGTCTGCTAAAGCACATGCCTGGTCTCTAGCAATTTCTACAACATGCTCACGGTCTCTGACCAACCCCTGAAGCATGTTTGCACTCTTTGACCATCTCTAGTATCATGCTCTTAGTATATGACCATCTCATGTTGCATATCTACAGTTTCTGACAGCTTTCTGTATCATTACATCCAATTAATATAATGTGTGGCCCTTTGGTGGTGTCAGGGGCTGCATGTGAGGCCCTTATATAAAGAAAGTTTACCAGCATTGCACTAAACCATTCTGCTATGGGCAATAATATTTGGCCCCCAGTGGCATGCTTGTGAATGAGCATGGTCTACCAGCTGAGTCATTGCATTCTGTTGACATGCATACATTCTGTGGCCATGATATGGACATTCAAATAGTTACATATCCTTGATAAGCATGGAATTAACTTGACTAACCTCTACAGCTACAGACACTGTGGAAGAATTGAGATCTCAAATTTCACAGCAGAAGTCAGCTCCCTTAGCAGCGAATATATAC